TGAATGCACAGAGATGTGCAGAATATGCTGTGAAAATCCCACAAAAACAGTGCCTTTTATATGGACGCAAACGCGCATTGCAACTTCTTATCTGGTGCGCGTCTTCTATTTTGACAGCGAATGCGCACCTGCGGACCACTTATGTGCACCCCTGTGTGTATATGTGTGTGTATATATATGTATATATATATGTATCCTTCACAATAGAAAAGATTTGTAAGACTTGCTATGAAACATATCATTGCTTGGCCCCTGATACTTTGCACTGTTCATAAATAAATGTCCACATTCAAGGCGCGTTTGACATCTTTACATATCATACCATTGTTCTGTAAACATTAGAAAACTCTGGGAAAATCAAGACTAAAACAACAATTGACACAGATAATACTCCTGTATGGTTCCCTATAGCAGAGGGTCGATAGTCATGTTGATTTGGTCTTTGTTGCGTTTGCTGCCATTGGAGCTGAGGGACTTCTCCTTTTTGCATGTAAAGGGGTTCAGGATCTTGCGGAATGTGACCCTGAAGTCCCTGATTCGGTAAGCATAGATGATGGGGTTTACTGCAGAGTTGGCGTGAGACAGAATGATGGCCACGTACATGATGACCTCCAGCTGTAGCTTCTGGTAAAACAGCGTGACACAGTTGAGGATGTGGACAGGCAGCCAGCAAATGGCAAACAGTCCCACGATGATGGAGAGGGATTTGGCAGCTCGGATTTCCTTCTGCAGCAACCCGTGATTTTGGCTGTCGCCGTTGCCCACGCACTTCAGCTCGATCTGCCTCAGTTGCTTCCTGGCCACGTTGAATATCTTCAGGTAGATGCCGAGCATGATGAGCAGTGGCAGCAGCACGCAGACAAAGAAATTAAAGTACACCATGTAATGCATGTCTACCACGCTCTCAAACAAGCACGTGAGCTTGCAGCTCCGTGGCAAGTCCCCCGTGGCACTCGGCGCTGCTGTGATGCTAGCGTTCATAGTGCTGTTTGTGTCAGAGCTGTTGTTACCACATTTCTTAGACTTCAAGTTCCATCCAAAGAATGGGATGAGGCCAATAATAAAGGAGAGAATCCATAAAATAGCAATGATCTCTCTGGCAGTTTTACCCGTCATCAGCTCCTTGTACCTGGACAAAACACAGCAGAGGTTACTGACTGAGGAGGTTTTGCACAAATATCACACTTAAAGGGACATTATTATTCTTTTACTGCAGCTTTGTGGGATTCACAGTTAAAAACAATCTGTATTTATCTTATTACAACCCCACAGTTCATCCACAGCTGGATCCCATCACTTGCCAGCTGAGGTTTGGTAGATGCTCACCACCAGAGCTGGTTATTTAAGGCGACCGTATTCGCAATATACAGTCTTACTGACATAGAAGTCAAGTGCTTAGAGCAATCTGAAGTAAGAGCTTTTCGGTCACGGGGATTACCTGCACAAACACACACCTCATATATAGTGTTCTTAACAATATTAACAACCTAGCTGTTTATTGTTGGTCTTGTTTATTTAAGAAGACTTAAAATTATGCATCCCCCAAGAAAAACTGGGACACAACAAAAGGGAAAAACTGGTAGGGAATAGTAAACTTTTGTCTTACTTGCAGTGGAAATCCGCAATGTACAACCACACCAACAAAATAAAAGGTTTAAATATGCATACAAGCAAAAATGTAAAAGAAAACCAACTTAAGCTTTACTGGTTTTCAGCGTTGGTTTTGTATAAAGCTCCAAAATGTATTTATATATGTGTGTGTGTGTGTGTGTGTGTGTGTGTGTGTGTACACAGATTTTTGGTTTAGTGATGATTAGTGGTTGTTAAAACCGATTCAAAATCAATTCCCTACAAGAACTCATCAATGCAGTAGAATGTCTCCAACTTGGTATTTATTCTGTAGTAGTAGATTATTATTACAACAGATGCATTACAATTTAATTTGAGACCACTTGCGTTACTTTATATACAGCAGTGAAAGTGATTCAAAGATACATAAATGTATGTTTGTTTGTTTTTTATTGATTTTGTACATCCTGATGAGGACCTTTCTAATCCCAGTACATCCTGTCGTCTTGTTTGAATTTGCAGTGATGGTGTGTGACTAGTGGAAACCACAGCTCAGATTCTACTCTAAAATGACACCACTGTAAACAAGACAAAAAAAGATAAACAGTCAGAGCCTTTCCATATCCTCTCGGTGTTGTACAGAAGCGCAGCGTAACTGCGGCGGTGCGCGTTGATCAGGAGCACATTGTCGGCTTCAGAGTGAAAGCATTGCGTCTGCTGCTATCTCTGAGTGTTTCTCACACACAGCTGTGCTTAAATTAATTCCACGAGTACAAAACCGAAACTAAACGTAAGCCTGTTCACGTGTTTGCGCTCGGTTGCTGTTTCACAGGCTGCACCAGCAGACCACTAAAGTGACAGACGTTTGAAATGGTGCTGATTTTATTATTATTTAAATCAGTCTTGAGCTGACAACAAGATAATGTGTGTTTCTCATACAACCGTCTTCGTGGCTTGTGGATATGAAATGAATAACTGCATGTGTGTGAGGCCGTGCATCACAAACGCGCGGTTGAGTCACTCCCGTCGGCCCGTTTTTATCCCCATCATGTGAGATGCGCTTGAAGCACAATTTGCTGTTTCCTCAAAGTGATTCAAGCGAGTGTGTGGTAATGACTCACACACATACTGACAACCCCCCTTCCACTCACACACAAACACAGATGCCTGCCCGAGGTGGGGGTGTCACAGAAAATCCATGTGACCTCGCCCGCTGCGCAGTACATGACCACAATATATCATAACTTAAAATGTGACTTTTTTTCTGCAACGCTCTGTATGATAATGAGAAGTTAAAGGTCATTCTTAAGCTATTAGCTAATAATGAGCTAATCATTAGTCAATGACTAATA